CATCAGCTTCTTCATAACATGGCTGACACTGGAGGGTAAACGAAAAGCAGTGGCCGACTTTTTTGCTTTCAAGGAGAGAACGTAACAACTTTCCTCTACAGCAGGTGAAACACACTATTTTTTCAACCTCTCCGTTTTTTAATTACCTGGGGGCACATGCAGTCCTGAAGTACCTATTTCACTAAGTACCTCCTAGGTTCGAGCCACGTAAAAAGAAATACGCATACACTGAATAACGTAAATGACTGTCCATGACTTCATTTATTGAATTTATAAATACGTCTATCTCAGTCGGGTAAATACAGGCATCAGTAAAATAAGCAGAGAGGCAGTCATTACACAACCTAAAAACCAAACAAGTAAAAAAAATCACTGTTACAATGTTACGCCCTCGAATTGCTAGAACAAATAGTAAATTAGAGATCTTCATAGGTATAGTACACTGCCGCCAAAAAAAATCCCTATCATTTTTAAAATCTCTTTTACTTGATTTGTATTTCACATTTTTTATCAGCTTCATTTCCTGGCAAAATTATCCTCCTTTTTTAATCTATCGCCTTACAGCCCCATGCCCTCACCGCTTCAGAACGCTCGTGTCCTTTCCTCCCATGATGTCTTGCGCAGAACGACTTACATTTTTCATGGGATTTGGGTCTTTTCAAGGGTTTGAAGTATACTTGGGGTCAGAATACATTTTCCATTTATAAAACATTTCCAAGTTATTTTTGATTGCAAAATGCCCATAAGCCAAATACGAAGATGTAGTGGTTTCTTATCACGATAGTCAGACGGTTTTTCTTCTTAATTTGACCATGAACATGTTACTGTGGCTGAATATTCTGCTTTCGGTAGACTTTGTCAATCCCCAAGGCATGGCTATTCTAGGAAACTTCACGTGTGGTTACATGGGATATATATACCGTGGTTTATGACCGCTGTACTTTTGACCTACACACCTATAGGATAAGCCCTAACAAAGGTTTTCCATAATTCAAACTTAGTCAACATCATTTGTTTACCTTACTGC